CCTCTCCCAATTAAAGCAGTTATTAAGGGTGCTGTATTTTTATGCCAAAAATCTATGCAGGCCATCAAATGGGAGGTCAATCAGATACAGCTCAAGGAATGCCTTGCACTCTGGAATGGTTGGTATAGAGCAGTGGACACTAAATGGCGACTGCGGACCAGAACCGGACCGAGGAACAGTCCTGTCCAGACCACAGCCATGCCACTGCCACAGCCAGGTGTCCTCTTCAGGGCCTCTCACTCAGCCACCGCTGTCATGCTCACAGCGGGCGGGGTGTAAGGAGCTGCAGATCGGGACTGAGGGCAGATGTTGGTGATTACCCAGCTTGTTAATGTGTAAAGACTTCCGCTCTCTGCAGCTCGAGACAGAAAGTGTGAGTCTTTTCATATTAGCAAGCCAGGCAATCGCCCACTTGTTACCATAATAACTTGGGCAGCTCCCACCCCTCCGTCCCGATCTGCAGCTCCTCCCTCCCCCACTCAGGATTGTATTTACCATAAGGCAAACAAGGCATTTGCCTAGGGTGGCATTTTTTAGGAGGGCAGCACTCCCCCAAAGAAGAAGGAACATAGGGGGCATGAGAACCAGGTGGGATCCGAGAGAGGCTGTTGGTTGCTTGAATGGTGTCTGCAGAGCCTGATTGTCATTCCCAGGGATGTCCTGAGCTGCGAATGTGTGTCTTTCTCTCTTTCACTGGGGGTGGGTGTTAGTGGAAGGCTCTCTCAGGTGGGGGTGGGGATGGGTCAGGAGTGTTGTTGGTCACTGTCAGGCTGTCTCTATGGGGGAGGGGGTGTCTGGTGTTGGCCAGTGTCAGGTCGGGGAGGGGGAGGGGTGTCTTATTTTTGTGTTGCCTAGGGCAGTACAAAACCTAAATACACCACTGCCCCTGCCCACTATGAGGTTGACATCGGTGGCAGTGAAACCCCAGAAGGATTAGTGCCTCTGCTCTGATTAAGGTACCATAGGACTGTACAGGGGAAAGCTTACATTAAAAAGGGCAATGTGTTGTGATGGGGGTGCTGTGTTGTGTTCAGGGGTGCTATGTTGTGTTAGGGGCACAGTGTTGTGTTCAAGGGTGCTATGTTGTGTTAGGGGCACTGTGTTGTGTTCAAGGGTGCTATGTTGTGTTAGGGGCGCTGTTGTGTTCAGGGGTGCTATGTTGTGTTAGGGGCACTGCGTTGTGTTCAGGGGTGCTATGTTGTGTTAGGGGCACTGCGTTGTGTTCAGGGGTGCTATGTTGTGTTAGGGGCACTGCGTTGTGTTCAGGGGTGCTATGTTGTATTAGGGGCACTGTGTTGTGTTCAGGGGTGCTGTGTTGTGTTAGGGGCACTGTGTTGTGTTCAGGGGTGCTGTGTTGTATTAGGGGCACTGTGTTGTGTTCAGGGGTGCTGTGTTGTGTTAGGGGCACTGTGTTGTGTTCAGGGGTGCTGTGTTGTATTAGGGGCACTGTGTTGTGTTCAGGGGTGCTGTGTTGTGTTAGGGGCACTGCGTTGTGTTCAGGGGTGCTGTATTGTGTTCAGGGGTGCTGTGTTGTGTTAGGGGCCCTGTGTTGTGTTCAGGGGTGCTATGTTGTGTTAGGGGCACTGCGTTGTGTTCAGGGGTGCTATGTTGTATTAGGGGCGCTGTTGTGTTCAGGGGTGCTGTGTTGTGTTAGGGGCACTGTGTTATGTTCAGGGGTGCTGTGTTGTGTTAGGGGCACTGTGTTTGTGTTCAGGGGTGCTGTGTTGTGTTAGGGGCACTGTGTTGTGTTCAGGGGGTGCTGTGTTGTATTAGGGGCACTGTGTTGTGTTCAGGGGTGCTGTGTTGTGTTAGGGGCACTGTGTTGTATTAGGGGCACTGCGTTGTGTTCAGGGGTGCTGTGTGTTGTGTTAGGGGCACTGTGTTGTGTTCAGGGGTGCTGTGTTGTATTAAGGGCACTGCGTTGTGTTCAGGGGCACTGCGTTGTGTTCAGGGGTGCTGTGTTGTGTTGGGGGCACTGTGTTGTATTAGGGGCACCATGTTGTGTTCAGGGGTGCTGTGTTGTATTAGGGGCACTGTGTTGTGTTCAGGGGTGCTGTGTTGTGTTAGGGGCACTGTGTTGTGAAGGGGAACTGAGGACACTGTGGGACTTCTTTAAAGAGGGGACTGTGATGTAGAGGGGACTACAGTGTAAAAGGTACGCTAAAGATGATAATGTACCGGGGGACTGTGATGTGTTATATCAGTAACAAGATTCGGACCTCTGCTGGAAGGAAATTTTCCTGACCGGACCTCCGTAAATTTTAATTCAAGACCCCTGGTATAGAGTGTCCTTTTGGGATATAGAAATTTCAGAATATCACTATATATGAGGGAATGTTTTTGTTGATTGATTTTATGGTTAGAAGGCCATAATCCATTGCATTTCTTACAGCCTTAGAGTAGACATGGGTGGCATGGTGAACCTGATGGATGGAGCCTTCAGAAAGTATAGAAATACCAAAATTACACCAGCATACCATTAAGATACAAAAAGGCACATTCATTAGTTACCACTAAGTATGAAGTGCATTCTTCCCCAGCTGACCTCGTAGGATTGCAAGGATTTTGAAGAGACCTACATGTCCGCCATCATCAAATCCAAGGACAAATGAATACAGCCCAAACTGTATTTCCAAATTTACTGTACCCTTCTGAGACTCTATAACTCAAAGATCCATCACTTCCCCCATTGTTTCCATGTCTGCAGGCAAGAAGCAGATCTACTCTATGTGCTGTGCTTCTGTCCATACAAAAGCTAATTTTGGGTTCAAGTTAATTAGTTGAATCTGTATTGGATCTCCCTAACCTTAGTTTTCCTGAGGTGTATGGTTTGCTTTACTGAATGACCTACAACTCCTCTCGCAATCCAAGCAGTTATTAAGGGTGCTGTATTTCTGTGCCAAACACCTATGCAGGCCATCAAATGAGAGGTCAATCAGGCGTAGCTCAAGGAATGCCGGTTTAAAGTGTCTTTTTAAAAAAGTGTATATTTTTGGGGGGTATGGAAACTTCAAATTATCACTATGTATGAGGGGATGTTTTTGTTGATGGATTTTTACGGTTGGGAGGTCCAAAATCCATTGCACTTCTTACAGCCTTAGAGTAGACATGGATGGCATGGTGAACCTGATGGATGGAGCCTTCAATGCCAAAATTACATCATCACACCATTAAGATACAAAAAGGGACATTCATTAGTTACCACTAAAGAATGAACTGCATGCAGCCCCAGCTGACCTCGTAGGATTGCAAGGATTTTGAAGAGACCTATATATCTGCCGTCATCAAATTTGAGGACAAATGAATACTTCTCAAACTCTATTACCAAATTTCCTGCACCCTTCTGAGACTCTATATCTCGAAGCTCCATCACTCCATCCATTGTTTCCAGGGCTGCCAACAAAATGCAGATCTACTCCATGTGCTGTGCTTCTATCCTTACATAGACCAATTCTGGGTTCAAGTTAATTAGTTGAGTTTGTGTTTTATTTCATGTCAATAGCACCTTTAGAAATATACTTACTGAGAAAAATGATGATGTATTTTTACCTTCCTCTGGATCAATTGTGGGTATAGGATTATAACTTTTTTTTTTTGGTTAAACTGGATTGGACCTTTGTCTTTTTTCAGCCAGACTAATTATGCAACTACGTGTTCAATACTTATTGTACCCACTGTGTGTGTGTGTGTGTGTGTATATATATATTTATATATATTGCTTGGTAACACAGATTGCTAATCAGCCAATCACATGCAACTCAATGCATTTAGGCATCTAGACGTGGTAAAGACCACATGCTGAAGTTCAACCTGAGCATCAGAATAGGGAAGAAAGGGGATTTAAGTAACTTTGAACATGGCATGGTTGTTGGTGCCAGACGGGCTGGTCTGAGTATTTCACACATAACCATCCCTAGGGTTTACAGTGAATGGTCCGAAAAAGAGAATATATCCAGTAAGCGGCAGTTGTGTGGATGAAAAAGCCTCGTTGATGTCAGAGGAGAATGGGAAGACTGGTTGCTACGACATTCAGATGGTAGGGTCAGAATTTGGTGTAAACAATCCGTCCTGCCTTGTATCAACGGTTTAGGCTGGTGGTGCAATGGTGTGGGGGATATTTTCTTGGCACTAGCAAGGTGTACCTAATAAAGTGTCTGGTGAGTGTACAGGTGAAACTCGAAAAATCTGAATATCGTGCAAAAGTTCATTTATTTCAGTAATGCAACTTAAAAGGTGAAACGAATATATGAGATAATATATGAGTGTTGCATGACCGCACAACTGTCATTCAAAGTGTGATAGCGCTGAAAGCTGAAAATCGGCCTGGACAGGAAGGGGGGGAAAGTGTCCGGACTTGAAGGGGTTAAAACATCCTGCTCATCAATGAAGAGAAAATCGTTCGATCGGTGGTTCCACAAACTTTTTCGTACGATTTTCTTATCGTCTGTACGGGGCATTAGTCCTCATGCACACGGGACGTTTTTACAGCGGCTGTTTTTGGCTTTTGATGTTTTTTTCTACAGCCAGTAAACCCCCCAGCATGTTATCCTATGTGTTCATACACACACAGACTGTAATCAACGTTTTTTGGCTTGAAAAAAAACCCAGGACTAGTGGGTTTCTAGAGGAGTTTTTTTAGCTGTAAAAAAGTTCTAACGCTGAGAAAAAACGCGGCAAACCAGTGTTTTTGGACGTTTTTCAACTAAAAAAGAAATTGTTTGGTAAAAAAAAAACCTCTACAAAAACTCTAAAAACTGCAAACACGAAAAAATGCGGCAAAAAGGCGCTAAATGCTAATACAAAAATACTGAAAAACTCAAATTTTTAACGTGACTTTACACAGCTAACATTACCAGCGTTCTATAAACGCCCCGTGTGCATGGAGCCTCAGGCTCGGCGGTGTCTTCTAACCAATCCAGAGATGGAACATACTCCAGCAACAGCGTACCCCTGTACTGCCCCCCACAGCCAGTTACCTGCCATAACACCAGAGGGCTTACCGGTGACGGTATCCACCGTACTGAACGAGATGAGGGATGGCGTGGGCTCCTTTGCAGTGGATGGTGGAGGAGGGAAAGCTGGTGCAGCCCCCGGAGGAGGGAAGTAGGAAATCTGGAGGGTCAGTGTTGCCTGTGAAAATGCAAAAAAAAAAGTATCTTAATAAATTGATTGACTGTCTAGGCTTCACTCTAGAGGTAAATAGTATCAACATACATTTAGCTACAAACAATTACGTTAAAGGATAAATGATCTGTTTCAAGTGCCGCCTTTCTGGACCGTATAGTCAGCTGCTGACTTGGCACAACCCACAGGCAGCTTAACTCTTCAGATTGAATCCAACACAATGCTACTTTTGCTAATTGCTAAGTACAGGGGATAATTTTTCCAGTCTTTTGATGTGTAAGAAGACAATGACTTTCCCAATCCCTGCCTCTGTGAATAATCACCAATGAAGGAAGAAGTGGGGAGGGTCTAACAAGGATTAAACTAACTAGCACTGTTCACAGAACAAGAGGGGAGTGTAGAGGGAGATACCAATATCACAATGTTAATAAATTGCAGCGGCCCAAAACCATCACCAGATGTAAGCATACTACAAAACAATAATCTGATGCAGTGTAATACAAGGCAGTAAAATACATGAAAATGGGACAGAACAGGAAATCCACCCAAAGCAAGGAAACATTTTTTTTGACAATGAAGCTCTGATGAAGAAGTGATCACCCTTCGAAACGCGTTAGCTTTTATATCCCCTTCGGATGGAATTTACATATGACCTGTAACCCTGTGTGGACTATGGTTATTTTATGCCTGTTTTATCGTTACTCTTGTGAGTATATTTCTTTAATAAAAATTATTCCCTGTTTACTGAGGTAATGCGCAAGGTTGGTGCGCTCTTTCTTTTATCCCTTTCTACCGTTTTATCAAGCTTCCCCAGCTTCATAATAGAGCTGCACAACCTCTGAACGGCATTGGATGAACACGCTGTTCGTTAAATAATCTTCCTTTGGTCTGAGCCCTTGAGCGCAGGAGATAGTGGATGTTTCGTAGGTTGGGCACCAGGGTTCTAAGGAGAGCGGTCTAAGTGACTGACAGCGGAATTACTGTTGGTGTCAGATGTGGGGTTTTTTCAGCATCTTACAAACATCTGACCTCCTGAGATCTCAATGTCAACAGATTTTCCTGACCCCACCAAGACATAGAGCACACCACACCCTGGCGGGGTTCCGTACACACTGTGACAATATCTATATAAACACCTATCGCAGGATTATCTTCTAGATGATGGGAACCTCAGCCTCCCGACTCATCTAAATGTAGCACCCTCCTAGTTTACCTAGGGGGAGCTACAGTCAGGTCCATAAATATTGGGACATCGACACAATTCTAACATTTTTGGCTCTATACACCACCACAATGGATTTGAAATGAAACGAACAAGATGTACTTTAACTGCAGACTGTCAGCTTTAATTTGAGGGTATTTACATCCAAATCAGGTGAACGGTGTAGGAATTACAACAGTTTGCATATGTGCCTCCCACTTGTTAAGGGACCAAAAGTAATGGGACAATTGGTTTCTCAGCTGTTCCATGGCCAGGTGTGTGTTATTCCCTGATTATCCTAATTACAATGAGCAGATAATAGGTCCAGAGTTCATTTCAAGTGTGCTATTTGCATTTGGAATCTGTTGCTGTCAACTCTCAAGATGAGATCCAAAGAGCTGTCACTATCAGTGAAGCAAGCCATCATTAGGCTGAAAAAACAAAACAAACCCATCAGAGAGATAGCAAAAACATTAGGCGTGGCCAAAACAACTGTTTGGAACATTCTTAAAAAGAAGGAACGCACCGGTGAGCTCAGCAACACCAAAAGACCCGGAAGACCACGGAAAACAACTGTGGTGGATGACCGAAGAATTCTTTCCCTGGTGAAGAAAACACCCTTCACAACAGTTGGCCAGATCAAGAACACTCTCCAGGAGGTAGGTGTATGTGTGTCAAAGTCAACAATCAAGAGAAGACTTCACCAGAGTGAATACAGAGGGTTCACCACAAGATGGAAACCATTGGTGAGCCTCAAAAACAGGAAGGCCAGATTAGAGTTTGCCAAACGACATTTAAAAAAGCCTTCACAGTTCTGGAACAACATCCTATGGACAGATGAGACCGAGATCAACTTGTACCAGAGTGATGGGAAGAGAAGAGTATGGAGAAGGAAAGGAACTGCTCATGATCCTAAGCATACCACCTCATCAGTGAAGCATGGTGGTGGTAGTGTCATGGCGTGGGCATGTATGGCTGCCAATGGAACTGCTTCTCTTGTATTTATTGATGATGTGACTGCTGACAAAAGCAGCCGGATGAATTCTGAAGTGTTTTGGGAATATTATCTGCTCATATTCAGCCAAATGCTTCACAACTCATTGGACGCTTCACAGTGCAGATGGACAATGACCCAAAGCAGACTGCAAAAGCAACCAAAGAGTTTTTTAAGGAAAAGAAGTGGAATGTTATGCAATGGCCAAGTCAATCACCTGACCTGAATCCGATTGAGCATGCATTTCACTTGCTGAAGACAAAACTGAAGGGAAAATGCCCCAAAAACAAGCAGGAACTGAAAACAGTTGCAGTAGAGGCCTGGCAGAGCATCACCAGGGATGAAACCCAGCGTCTGGTGATGTCTATCAAGTATTAAAAAGTGAAAGTTTGATTTATGATTATTATTCTGTCCCATTACTTTTGGTCCCTTAACAAGTGGGAGGCACATATGCAAACTGTTGTAATTCCTACACCGTTCACCTGATTTGGATGTAAATACCCTCAAATTAAAGCTGACAGTCTGCAGTTAAAGCACATCCTGTTCGTTTCATTTCAAATCCATTGTGGTGGTGTATAGAGCCAAAAATGTTAGAATTGTGTCAATGTCCCAATATTTATGGACCTGACTGTAGATCCTAATGGTTAGACAGGAGCTGTTAGCAGCTCAGGTGTAATAGCTAGAGGAGTCAAATTGTGGTCAGGACTGAAAGATTCTGCGGGCCAGCCCATCTAAAATTTCCTCCTGCTCTGAAGCTTTCAGAGGACAGCCTTGGAGGCAGTGGGTGGAATCTGAGGAGTAATTGGCTGAACTCTTGAGGGACCTCAGCCAATCCTCAACAGAAGGCTTGGAAAGGGGATGGGACTCCCTTAAAAAGTATAAGAGCCTTCTCAGTAGCAGGAGTCGAGTGGAAGAAGGTGTAAAAAATTGGAGGAAGATGTGAGGCTGGGTGAAGAAGGCTGCCAGGGGGCCAATTGGGACAGGGCCTACATGCAAGCCTGCAGTTGGAGAGGAGGAAAACTTGGAGCTCACTGGCCCTCTAAGCAAGGACCACCTGTATGGCAGGGAAGGAGAAGCCCAGCTGATAGGACTGGTAGCAGCAGCCAACCTGCAAGCGGTACAGGAGAGGATCTGAGTGAGTACGCCTGCACCCCCTTGGCGGATAGGGGAAGGAGCACTTTGGTGGTAAAACAGATTAGTCCCCTACTAGTGGCTGTTCACTTTATGTAAAGAGACAGGAGCCAGATCCCCTGCTCAGGAAGAAGGTCTCCAGATTGCTGGGTGAAGAGGAGTTCATCTAGGGTCCGGGGGAGTACAACTGGAGCTGCTGGCTAGAATTCCAACAGAAAAAATATAAATGAAAATAGCGCCAAAGGTTTTCACATATAATCAATTAACACAAGCAGCTAAACCTTACCCCTAAAGGTTGCAATCATAAAACAAAAAAAGGTAGCGCTATCAAAATTAAATATTTAAATCAGACAGTGATAAATAAAACAGTGAACAAATTAATGATCAAAAAAATGTCTCTAAAAAATTTTTTTTTTCTTTCCATCAACAGTGAAAAATGTCCATTACCATAAGAACAGATGTGTGCAAATCCACCACCAACAGAAATGAATAAAGTCACCAGAGCAAATTGCCAGTTAAATTATAAACCAGCAATTGCACTTGTTTGGGTCATCCTTCCGCTCCGTGAAGACGTCGGATGACGAAACGCGTAGGATGGAGCTTCGGACTAACGTCACTACGTTCTGTGAGAGGCTGTTGTCTCGGCTTTCTGTGATTTTAAATGAAATGTGTTTGTTGCTATTGTTGGCTATGACACTTCCATGTGATGTGGATTATGATGAGTTTTTACAAAAAAACGTGTTGTATGGTATCACACGATCGTTTGCTTTATTTTTCTTTTCTTTTCTGAGCCTGTGTATAAAGTTCTTGGAATTCGGTCTGGAAGTTTTCGTTGCTGCATTTATAGATCTGCAGAGTATTGCTCCCAGAGAGGATAAATAAGTGTCTGGATATCTGAGTCTCCCTAACTTGCAATATACTACATTAACAAATAAAGAGTGAATATGCAAGCGCTATCTATAAAGAGAGATAGCCGCTGGAAGACCAAAGAGGCAACATAAACAAAACCCTCCAAGATAAATATCAATATAAAGGTGCAGTGCTGAAAAGTATACAAATATATCTCATAAACAAATAACAATGAGACGGTGCAGAATTAACGAACTATGCAGCCTGGATAATTAATATCATGTCATCAATGTGTAGGCAATGACAAATCAAGCATAAGAATCAACCAGTACATATAAGTAATGTGAGTAAGTGATGTCACCAATTAGGTGAGTATAGTGCATAAAAAGTCCCAAGTAGATTGCCCACGTGAGGATCCTGTATGATCCCGATATGTATGCGTGGAGTTAGTCCAGTAGCCCCCCCCGACGCGTTTCGTGCGATGCACGTAGTCATAGGGTAACAGGGCTTACAGCAGGAGACGTCTGGCTCTGTCTATTTATAATGAGTTCTTTTAAACTTTGTAATTTTGGTTGTGCACTTTCTTTGATGGAATAAAGTTCCCTACAGTATCACGCTATGTGGTCTCCTTTATTGGTCCCCTTTCATGAGGACCATCCACAGAGGCTGCACTAAGGGTGACCCCTAATGGTGATACGCATCAAGGACCCTGAGTACTCCATGCAGATGTGGCCGGGAAGTGTACTGTATCCTGACCTGTTCTGCGTGGGGAGGTGGATGACCATAGCTACACCTGTTGAGATAGGTTACATCTCTAATGCGTGTTTACAC